TTAGTAGCCACTCAGGAGAACCTTATCACAGTTTACAGGCTGAATACAGCTTGGCACGTGATAATGTTCTTTAATGTGTATATAATCTCATTTTATATTATATTACTATAAACAAATTTTCTTTGAAACAAGTCTAGAAAAATCTTCATGAATGGATCCTGAAAATATTTAAGTGAGATACTTAATGCTAAAGGCATATTTAACATAAGAAGATTTACATAATGCTCCGTTTGATGGTCAGAGGGTCTACTGAACATCTCCACTGTGATATAAAGAACTGACCAATCATTCAGGTGAAGGAGTATATATTGAGAAGCTCAGCTCATTCCAGCATTCGCTGGTCTTCTTTGGGATGGTGACACAACAGCTGCCATGAGGTGGGTGCTCTGAAGAAGGACACTTTGTTGGCTTGCTGTTTTGTTTGCTTTAAAGAATAAACTGAACTCTACTTTGAGGATGAAGCTTCAACATTATTGTCACTGTCACATCAAATTTTAACTCCTCAATACATACCCCGTGGCGCTGGCATGCAGATGCAGAGAAATCTTCTGGTGCAGATGTCTGTAGGCTCTGCTGAAGATAGTGGATACTGCTCTGTAACATATTGTCAAAGCCTTTTTACCTGCTCTGCCTGTTGCTGCAGCTCAGCAGGTGTTTCACCGCTGCCTTTATTCATATCAAGCTTTTATACTTCCCATATTTTTAAACATGCTTTTAACATGCACAGCTACCAAGCTGATATGTGTTGTGGCACTTATTAGCTATGGTAGTATGCAATTCTTTGTTGTGTATGGATTTCTGTTTCTAACATTAGTTCTGATCCCTTTTTACATCTTTTCATCTTATTAGATGCATAACACACAAGTCTGGCCCGAATTCTAGGTAACAAAAAGTAAATAATTTTTTTGTATTTTCTGTGCACTTCAAGGAAAGAAGATGCTTGAGTACATGTACACGTAGAAAGAACTAGAGCTAGATACAGTGGTTTTTCTGTATTAAGTAATTTTCAGATTTCACTATTTCTAATGTATTAATAGAAATGCATTAACTCCCTCCTGTGTTTATTTTAATATCCTAGCTACCTTTAGTTACTAAAAACCCTATTCAAATCACATTTTAAAACATTTTAAAATTAGTTTTTCAAAATTCATTAAAATATAGTTTCTTCTTCTCTGAAACTAAAAAATAAGTCATTTAAACTCTGTTCCAATATAGCTGTTTTCCTTCTCCTACTGGCTTTAGATAAATAGATATTAACGTGTACAAAACCAGAAAAATTAAATGCATGTGTTTGGGTAGGATGCATCTATGTCCATATGGGACTCAGAAAAGTGGGGATAATAACACTACACTTTCTTAATGTGGTATCAGTGAAGAACATCCATTCAAATAGCATGGCTAGAGAAAGCCAGATGTAGTATTCATGTAAAAATAATTCAGAGGAGAAGTCTGTTCGGACTGTGAAAATGTCACTTCCCATAAATTCTTTACGCATTGTCACACCAGGATTGAGTTAAAGCCAAACAAGCATCTAATTCTTGCTTTGAATACCAATTGGTTGACTGCTGTTATAAACCATTTAATGGGACTCATATTAAAAAAACAGCTGAAAAACTGTCTCATTTTAGCATTCTGAGATGTCAGTAACAAGACAAGTTCAAGAATAGAGATTTAAAGAAATGTTTTGAAAAAACACTGTCAATATCTACAAAATATACTACTAAAGAGCTTTTATTTGTAATGAGTTATTTACCAAATTTCTTAATCGGACACATATTCCAAAATATTCTGAAGTATATTTGTGAATAGTGGAGCCTCAATTCCACCCAAATGAAAAATTTTATACCATGTTAAATAATCTTGTAATTTCTATTTCTCTAAGCATTTGGATGCACATAAATATATCTACCAAATATACTACTAAAGAGCTTTTATTTGTAATGAGTTATTTACCAAATTTCTTAATCGGACACATATTCCAAAATATTCTGAAGTATATTTGTGAATAGTGGAGCCTCAATTCCACCCAAATGAAAAATTTTATACCATGTTAAATAATCTTGTAATTTCTATTTCTCTAAGCATTTGGATGCACATAAATATATATGTATATATACATATTTGAATGCACAAACATGTACAGAAGACATCAGATATGTAGTTATATACACAGATATAAACATAACCAGGAGATATATTTAGATAGATAGATAGATAGATAGATAGAGATAGATATGTATAAATATATCTCACTTTAATTTTGACTGGTCTGGATTTTGCAATAGTGTTGTCACTAATTTAAACAGACATCCTACACTTTTTTTCCCTCTGTACTGCTTTTGATTTGTTTTGTAACAGTCTACATAAGCTAAATAAAGTTGGCCCTAAGTGCAGACAAAGACATTAACAGGAAATATTTAGCATTTGCAAAGTGCCTGACATGTTTAAAGTATTGTATAAGTATTTAATAGTAAGTCCTCAAAACAGTCCTCAAGACCAGTGAGCACTTCCACCAGCAATGCTGCAGCACAGGGAAACAAGTTACGACACAGCAGAAACCAAGTTGCCACCAAAGCCCTACACAGAGCCCTGGAACAGCGCTAACTTTTAATAATGGTATTTATGTAAAGCTGGTCCAAACAACAGGAATTTAGAAGCAGTACTAACTGTTCATGAACACCCTTTGTCTCCAACATAGTGTTAGTTTTGATAGCATTAAGAATGAAACAATCCAGATCTGGAAAAGCAGCTGAAAAGCAGCAGATGAGGCAACAGGTATAACCAGGTATAACCTGCCTATTAACCAGGTATATTTTTTATGATGATGAAAAAACCAGTATGTGCTTAGGAAAAATGGAGTGTAATGCATTATTCACATGTATTTGTCAATTATAAGCCTTTGAAAGTTGGATCTTTCCATCAAAATTACCTCAACTAGAAGAGGTGCCTGGATCAGAAGTTTTCCTTTTATTTTATGCTCACCATACCTTTAAAGGTTTTGCAGAATTTGGGGATGGACACGGTACCTTCATAAAGTCTTCATCTTCCTGAGATTTCTTAGTCCTTAACAATGTATCTTCATAACAAAGAAGTTTTCATCTTTTCGAGATTTCTTAGTCCTTAAGAATGTATCTTCATAACAAATAGAAGTTTTCATCTTTTTGAGATTCCTTATTACTTAAGGATGAAGACAGAGCTTTCCTTTAAAACTGTCCACACGAGAAAAGATTCCAGTGAAGACGTTTCTATTCAGCTAGTTGGGATGGCAATGGTCTTGGAAGATTTCCCTGATGTTGCATGTTTTGTTCTTTCTTTCTGAGGATATGATCATTCCTTGGTCATGAATATTTTCATTACTAAGGCTAGTATGCTTTGGAGTGGGAAATGTTAGAACCACTGAACAATTTGCTTGTTGGAATGATTTCAGGTCAATTTTTTTTTTTAATATATTTCTGCTTATTACCAGAAATCTGGAAAATGTTCCAAGGTATATGGAACTATTTATCATAGTCTTTAAGTAATCATTTTATTGTTGAGGCTCTTTGTAAAAGATTTTTCATATTTCTTTCCTATTATTAGAGGATCCATACAAGACCAGATGTTCTCTTTTCCTTAAGTAGGTCAAAGTTAAGACTTTGCTTTATTAAGATTTATTAAGACTGTCCATATTCTTGTTGAGATGGAGCTATTGCTCCTTTGACAACATGAAAATTAGAGTTTTGCTCTATTTCTAAATTTCTATTTCTAAAGAAAAAAGACAAAGTTAAGTCTTCACGTGAACTTCTGGTATCAATTTCAGTATCCCATGTCTTCCAACACCACTACATTCAACCTTTGACATGACTGCGGCAAAAAAAAAAAATCCCAAAAACATAAAAACCAAGCTGTACCAGTACAAAGAAGAAAAAATACAAACTGACCTCCAAAGACCGTGACCTGTTCCCTGCTATAAACCTGTCTTTTGAGACTCACCTCTAACATGATATATATAAAGAATCAGCCTAATTAGGACAGGTGAAAAAAGCAATTAATATAAAAAACTTTGTATTTTGCTGTATTACTACTTGACCATCTTCCCATGTCATCTGATTTCTTAAAGATCTGCAGGTGCAGGAATGGTATTTTTAAAGATATTCCCAACACATCACACAATATACTCCTAGATTTAAAGGGGTGACTGCATTTAAGAAAAAATCCTCAACGTTCTGTAGTTACTCCACTTTGAGTGTTTTAACTCATGTTCTTAATACGACTAATAGCAGCCCCAAGATCCGCTATCAGCTACTGGGAACTAACCATCACAGAGAGATTTATTGTACAAGCCATTATCCCATAGTCTCTCAGTCCACAGACCTTCCATGTGTACCACTTGAAGTTCCAGCTATACACAACTCGTGGCAGAAATGAGAAGACAAGCCTAGAATATTAATCATAGGGATGTGAAGCTTCTGTTCAGATAAAGCAGGGCACAACTGTGATTTCTAGCATTGTGATGATCTAGGCAAGGTGCCTGTACAATGTTTAAAGTCTTGATGGTATTCTGAACAGTTATTATGAAATTGTTATACCACTGAAATTCTCTCTGTATATGAATATAGTCCAAGTAAGGTCACATCTCTGCCAAACCAGAGACATTTCACTTAGCTTTAACCTTCTATAATTACCGCATCTAATCTAACTTAGTCACACAGGCTGTCTTTAGAGTCAACAGAGAGATGAGTAGCTCTGGAGAGTGACACATCTCACTTGTATTAAACACTCATTTTAGACTGAGAAATGGAACTGGATTCTGGGGACGGATAGTTGAACATAAACTTTAGCTGTCAGCAAGATGCACTGCACAGTGTTCCTGAAAAGCCAGGATTAAAGGACAGACTTCTGTCAGACTCCATAGATATTATTACAAGAATTGCCTAACATACATTGCAGAAAAAAATGGCTTTTCAGGCATAAAACTTACAGACAGAATTGATATAAGAGGAAAATGAAGATGTACTTACCAAAAACAATAGAGGACTCACAGTAGTAGTAACCATTTGGTTGCTTTTTTTTCAACATGGAGCAAAGATCTAGGCGGTGCAGGATTTCATCTCCAAAATAATGGCTTTTAAAATCTTCATATAGGCTTGAGTCAATTCTTTTCACCTTTAAATAGCAACATAAAATTCAATTAGGCATTCTGCTAGAAGACTGAATTTTCATATTTAATTCCTATAGTTTTCATTTTAACCAGAGGTATAGTTAGGATGGAAAACTACTTCAAGAGGGAAAAATAATACTGAAACAATAATGTGCCAGATCTTCTGTTTTAGTTAAGTACTGTCTGCTACAGAACTTAAACAAGGAAATACAAGTGTCATTACAGCTCCTTTCTACCTCTCCCTCTTCAGTCCTGTAGGATATACAATGCTGCAACTGCTTTAACTTCCAATGGTTTGCAACAGTCGTCATGGAACATGTAACTGGAAATTATTCTTGCTGTTATCACTGGGCATGCTACTACAAGGAAGAATCTCAAATGTTTGTCAAGGGCAGTTTTCTGGGTCTTTAAAATCACCAAACAGGAAAATGTGGTTGCATTTAACAAACACTAGGCTTTTTATCTCAGCAAATCTAAAAAACTTACAGTGATTTATAATATCAGTATCATTATGTAGTTTTGCATATACAAAGTGGAACGTAATAAATATTCTATTAGCCTGTTTTCAGAAAACCTCAATTCAGTAGTTATTTTAAGAGTTATGGGCTCCTCATGCCATTGTATTTTCAATAAAAATAGATGATCTCTGTAGAAAAAATATTTTCTCCTTCAATCTACCTCAGAATAAAGCTGTTTGCGTTTTAAAAATTGTTACTATATGCTAAGGCATGTTAGGAGAGACTGCTGCCTCCAGAAGCTCCAGCCCAGGGCTCCCTACTGCCCAGCTGCTGGAGCCCAGCCTGGTGCCCCGGGGACCCAGTGTCTCTGATGGATGTACCTGCTGCTTTCACATCCTAGAGACACACAAACATGCTCAGAGGGCATAGACACAGATGGCTACACAGGCTGCCACAGACAAGGCGCTGCCTTCAACAGCACCCACATACATGGCTCACATGAGACACAAGTGTGGACAGCCCCCAGCAGAGACAGAAGGTCACTAGTGCAGGCGTGCACATGACTCCTTCCAGGTTCACAAGCACATGCACATTTGTGCACCCCCCAAGCACTGTCACAGCCCCTCTGCCCGCCCAGCACCTCTGCCCAGATCCCAGGCCCCCTTACCCATCCCATGGGTCCCTCACTTGCTGGCTGGCCCAGCTTGAGGTTAGGTAGTGAACACCCGCACTCCTCACACACACACACACAGTTTGGGGAAGATACAGACATTTGCCCCCAGCAGCCAGCACCCAGCACACTGGCTCGGTCAGACAAGCGTGCCCACCAGCCCGTTTTACACAGGACCAGCCCCTTTTACACCCCATTCTGTCCACTCCTCCTTTGTTCCTCCCCATCCCCTTCCCCTGCACATCTCCCATCCATTTGCACAGTCCCACCAACCGCCCAACACCCTGGACCCTCAGTTTTACATCCCCAACAGCTGCAAAGTCCCGGTTTACCTGAGGTTTCTTGATAGCCTATCAATTAGTGTGACTGACAAGGTTTGTTTCTTGGTTTTGTCTGTTATGTTTGACAGGTTTGTGTCTCTGTATACTTTGTTTATGGCTTCCCCCTTTCCCTTACCATCCCATTTGACCAAGTCCTCGACCAGACAATCCTACTGAAATAAACATTCCCACACTCGACATCCCCTTATCAGTCCGTGTGGCCGACCAGCTTTGGCTCTTGCTACTGCCTCCCTCATCTTATGCAGAGTTTGTGTCTCTGTATGTGTTGTTTAGAGCTTCCTCCTTTTCTTATTATCTCCTTCTGCACTGAAAAGGTCCTTCACCAGACACGCTAAAGGGGCCAGATGCCGTCTCCTTCCTCACACCCTTACACTATATCTGTTCATCTGAGCATCACACTCACGCACTTCTTGTGATGCTTCATTTACAATTACTCATATGCAAGATAGGCTCAGAGTTGGTATGTCTACTGAGCTTTTACTTAGGTACAAAATTATTGACTTCAGAAGCACTTTGCTTGAGTAAGTACCTGCACATTTGGTTCTCTAAAGTCTTAGTTTAGAGACTTTTGGTCCCCTTTACTAAATTAGACTTTTGGTCCCCTAAAGTCTAATTTAGCGAAAGTCAGAAATGTCTTTCCATTTCCTTAATCTCTGAAACGATGACATCTAGTGGTGGATGCTTTTCATTTTGGGTACACGACCTCCTTGGAAGTCTACATTTATTCCAGCCTCACTGTCATTATTTAAAATTTGATATTCTATGGCTAGATTAATCCTTCTGTACTAAGGTTATTTTGAAATCAAATCATCATTCTTTGCTTTTTGGCTGACAGTTTTTTGAAATACATTTAGACATCAATCAGTAATAAAAAAAGACCTTTTCAGCCAGAAGAACACTTGTCAAAATGTGAAGCCTTGAGTACTCATGGAACAAAATGAGGAAAAGATCAAAATCACTACTTCACGCTCCAATAAAAAAAATAGCATTTACAAGAGGTTGGGATGCTGCTTGTCAAAAACAGATTGGTAAGGTGTGAATCAAATGTTGAATGCTCAGGAACTGAGTTATGCTTGTAGTGCACTACTGAAAGAAATTTGGAAAAGCAGCCATGGGAAAACTATGATATTTTTAGTAACTTGGAGCAATTTCTGGAGCGCTGTTTGTAATGAGATGTGAAAGGATGAAACAATGCAGGTGCATGGGAAGGTCACGGTTCATTTCTTAATTGAAAGGGTCTGGAGCAGTAGAGATGAAAGAGAGGAGTTGTTACCACATGCTGATTATAGAGATATGCTGTAATTGGGGAGGGTGGGAAACAAGAGTACTTGAGAGGCCATTCAACATTCCAGCATTTGGTGCTGGACGGGGAGGAGGAAGACACCTGCCTCTTGAGGAAGCACTGTAATGAATGGATGCCTGTAAAGGGACATGGCTGTGTAACGTGGGCCTGGAGAGGCATTGCATGTGGAGCTCTTGCAAGACTGGCAAGAGCCAGGGCACTAAGGAGACAGCATTTGGTAGCCCTGTCATGTCTGTTAACTCTGTCTGCGCCTTCTCTGTATGCAGGCTGGGAAGGGGCAGGCTGCCATCCCCAGCCTGAAGTTAAACACTCCAGCTGCATGGCGTCCCCATGGCTGCTGTCAGCAGGTGGCCAGGCAGCGTTTGCCTCTTCATGGGACCAGGGGCAGGAAGGCTGAAGTGGTGACAGGCCTTAACACGGCTGCAAAGTGAGGTGCCCAACACCCTCCTGCAAGCAGCTTCAGTTTCCATGTACCAGACCCCACAGCCAAAATGCCCAACTCCCAGCACCACATGTCCAGCTCTCTGAAGGTGAGGGCTGCATATGACGATTCATTTACATGATGCCATGCCAGTTGCTCAAGGTAGCTCATTAAGTGAACTGCAGAAGCCGCAACGGGTGAAAGAGGTGAGCAGTGGGGAGCTGGGCAGCGGGTAGGGACGGCCATGGGTCCCGCTGGAGCACTGGCAGGCAGTAGAGGCAGGTGATGGAGATGCTACGTGGGAGTGGATGCTTGGCATCCCTTGCCGGCCGGCTGCTCAGGGGGCTTCTTCCAA